AAGCAAGCAAGGCGTGCGCCACCACGTCCTGCCACTCTGGGAGTCGCCCCGGCCCTGCCTGTGCCCCGCGCCCTCCCCGCACCCGGGCCTCTGGTCTCGGGCCCCTTCCCGGGAGGCGGTCGCGGCCTCGCGGGCCCAGTGGCGAAGCCCCAGCCCGTTGCCACTTGCGTCCCGCACGCGCGTTTTGGAGGCCTTGGCCGGCCCTCCGCCCGGCGCAAAGAGCTGGGCCCCATTCGCCTGGGGAGGAGAGGTGAGGCCTGGGCGAGAAGGTGAGACACGGCGAGGCGGCGTGTGCCTGTGCCAGGGTGGGCGACGACTTCGCGACGCACAAAAGGAGCCCAGCGCGGGAGGCGTCGCGGTCCCCGAGGGCCGCCCCCGACCTGGGGCCGAGGCGGGCCGCGCGCCCTGGCGCCCCTGCTCCCCGCAGGCCAGGCCGCCCGCGTGAGGCCGCGCCAGAGGGGCCGGGGTGCGGGGTCCCTCCGCCCGGGGGAGCGAGGCCGTCGCCCATTCGGAGCAGAGCAAGATCTGAGCGGGAAAACAAAAGTCACAAAGAAATTTGTTTGCCACCGTGCAAAATGGCGGCACTTAGACATCTTTCTGGTGGCCGTGGCGGACCTGGCCCGAGAGCCCGGGGCTGCCCGGCCAGCGCGGGCCCCGGAGCTCGGGGGCCGGGGGCAAGCGAGGGGCGGGGGACCCCGAAACTCCCTCGGCCCCCGGCCAGCCCCGCGCCCGCAGCCCCGCGCCCGTTCAGCCGGGCCGGCCGGGCCTCGCAGCCCGCCAGGCCGAAGCCCGCGCCAGCAGCCCCCGGCCACTGACCCCTGTTTACAAACACAGCCCGGGCGGGGTGGGGCGGCCGGAGCGGGCCGGCGGGGCGGGGGCTGGCCGCGCGCTCCGAGGACGCCACCAGCAGAGAGGAGCGCGGAGTGGGTGCGAGAGAGCGGGCCCGGCAGCTGGAAAGGACTGAACGCCTTGTTTTTGAAACTGTCAATTCCCTCAACGCCTATTGTGAGGGCTTCATGCAAAACATCTCAGGCCTTTTAAAGTAGGAGCTTGTGAGGCCGCCACAGTTTGAAAAGGAGCGAGAGAGGAGCGGGGGCCTAGGGCATGGGCAAAGAATGATAGCTGGGCCCTCCTTCCTTTTTTTTTTTTTTTTTTTTTAAGCAAAAGAGGGCCTGCCAAACAGGTAAAATGCAGCCCTCCCCCACCTCCTAGATCTGCCCTAAAGATCTGCCCTGTGTCCCCACCCCCCAGGCTGGTTTGCAAAATGCCCTTTGGCCTAGGAAGCAAACCAAAACCAAAGCTAGCATTAAAAATAGTTCTTCCTTCTAGGGAAGAGGGAAATCCTAGGGATGACTGGGGTGACCGGATAGACTCTCCAAGGTGGATGGATGCCCTGTTCCTCCTTGCCAATTTCCTGAGGTTAGTTGATGGGGAGCCCCCCCCACCCCAGTTTGGCTCTGCGAACTCTCTCTTTTCACATCCTTCTCAGCAGGAAGTTATTTTCAAGGTGAAGCAAAACTCACCACATTTTCTTTCTTTTGTAGATGCTAATGCTTTATTTTTAAAAAATTATTTTTTTTTTACCATGAAGGATTTTTGTTTTTGTTTTCTTTGAAAGAAAGAATGCTTTTGAGGAATTAGTTTCTACCTCTCTTCCTGCATGCAAACAAAACTATCATTCTCATATCAGCAGAAACTCCCAATTCTTGATGATTAGAACTTTGAGGAATTTCTAGTCCATTGAAAGTCACCCAGACTCGGATAAGATAAAAATCCATACACCAGCCCATCTAGTTTGTGTTATTGCCGTTTAGTGGTGGCTCCTTGTTGTTGATTTTCAAATAAACAACCATTATTGAGATTACTCCACTGTAATCAAATAAGCCAGTAGAAAAGAACACCCACTTTAAAAAGTAAATAGTTGAGACAGAGCAAGCTGCATTTTCCATAAAGGCAGATAACCTGACTCTGGAAGACAGAGTACACACATCTCTTAAAAAAATAATTAAATCTTCATTTCACTGTCTTATCAGGAAATAACTTTTATAGGAGACCAGAAGTAAGTTTGTTTTCCCAAAAAGTTAGAGAAAGAGCCTTTTCCTGTATTTTACTCATGTCTGTGAATGTTGAGCTTTAAATACAGCAATCAGTGACCCTGGAGCCATATAGTGTTTTTTTTTTTCTTTTTAATTCTATTCCCTGAAAACATTTAAATGTAAAAATGCAATATATCAATGGAGGTAACTTTTGTTTTTCTCTCAATAAGGCTTATTTTTTTTGAACAAACGGGACATTTATAGCAGCTTTAAGAATCTAGATATTGTCATTAATCATAAAACAACCAAAATAAAATAAGCTGTACTGAGAATAATTCCCACAGCAGAATGGGAAAACCACTAAGGGGCTACTAGAATTTGAAAGAATACCTTGTATTTGCAAGTTACTGCACACCATTTGGTACACTTTCCTGACCAAAGCCCCAACTCAGGTCTTGCTGTGGTTGGCTTATAGTAGTACTGTGGGGTGAAATTTGTGTTGACTATTTAATTTCTTTCCTTTTGATAGTATCACTCTGGAATGCCTCGGCCTCCATGCTGCTCATTCTCCAGCTCCTATAAAACTGAAACTATTGATTCTCTGAGGGCTGCAGACCAAGTGTCAAAGCTGGAGGCCATTATTTTATGTCAGAAATTCCATAGGGTATACTTGTTTTAAATTGTGCTTATTCCATCTTATGGTCCTCTCACACCCAAGATCTGTAGACTTCAAATATATTTTCAATTTATATTTTAGGAACAATGAGTCCATAGCCAACAAGAAAAGTACTAGTATAAATGTAGTAGTCACCGTCCTTTGAACTTTCTTAACTTAGCAGTAATTAGTGAGTAGGAACTACAGACTTTTAGTGTGTGTGTCACACTTTTTACAGACTGATTTTTCAGGACAACTTACTGCACCTAAATTCTGTATTGTGTTCCAAAGAGGAAAGAACTCAGACCATGAAGCCCATTATACACACTTTAACTGTAACATAGACTGGTCTTTGGAATTATATACAAACAAGAATTCAAGGATAACACCCCCGAAATTTTTGCTCTGACCATATCTACCATTCCAATAAAAAAAAGGATCCAGTGAACCTACATCTGGCAACATTCAAGAAGGAAAGGAAGGGAGGCAGTTCAAAGCATCTGTTTACTCCATCCAAATGTATTTGGATGCAGGTATTTTCAGCCTCTGTCCTTTACAATAAGAGGAAAACCACAGAGCATATTCAGCAATTAGGGGCTGAGACCATCCAGATCTATCAGAAACATTTATGGACAAAAGGAAAATTTCAAAGGGAGTAGGAATTAAAAGGTTAAAAAAAAAAAAAACCCACTGAATTTCCATGAGAAATAGTGACTTAAATTCACACAGTAAACATTTCATTGGTGTTTTGTTTTGCTTTGTGATTTATGATCTATAGATGCAACTTCTGAGATTTAGGATAGCAAGGACCTGAGATACATAATTTGTCAGACTAAGGGAGGTGGACCAAAAATTATTAGATTCAATGTTCATTAAAATAACAACTGATCCCTGCTTCATTTTCTTAAATCTGAAACTTCTTATACTTGATTTGTAACAAGTTTGTAAAGTTTTGTTGTTATTTAGGAAGAAATCCACCAGTGTTTTTGCACAGAACCTGACTGGCCTCATCACATAGTATTACAACAAAACACTACACCCAATAAATGCAGTTCTTTCAAGCAAAAAACATTACAAGTGAAAATGTCAACAAAACCATTCAATCCTGTTAACCGTTCTTCAATCTGGAATAAGTAGAAATGTATGGAACCAGGAATTTTTAACAGTGTTTTTAATTGAAAATAAAGCTAAAGCATGCTTTTCAACAGTGCAAATTTCCATAATTTTGATTTACTGCTTCTATCATCACAACACAGTACACCAGTATGGCCCTTACCAAGGGCTAGACCCTAGCATTTGCATGTTGAACTATTTTGATTTTAAGTGCAAATATAGATAGTCACCTCTGATTGTCACTTGCAGTAGAAACTCTCCTGCTCTATACACAGGATGGTCTGGAAACAGAAGTATAGAGAGATGCAGAAAAAGTATAAGGTAATAAAATCCAAGTGCCTGAGTTCTGGTACCAAAAAGCCCTGAAATAACTGTTATTTTTCACTGAGGGTATTGCAACTCTGACCCCTCATTTTCTTTTTCTTGGTTGTATTTACTGCTTTGTCATTATGAAGAGTTAGACCATAAAATATCCTGCAATTAAGACAGATATTTTAATTGTTTTGTGAGTTTGAAGAGTCATGTTCAGACCACAAGATAAGCAGGACAATAGTAAGAGTCACCTTCTTTAAAACCTTTGGGTGAGAACACAAAAAGGACTTTTCTAATTGCAAGGAGTGGCTTTAAAAGTGAAATCACATCCTTTACCAAAAAAAAAAAAAAATTATACAATTCCATATTTATTTTACTCAGTATATATGAGGCAGCTTTTACCAGCATTCAATCAGGACTCACACCCCAATCTTTCTGCTCAAAAAATAAAAATAAAAAAGTTAAGTGCAACTACTCTTGAAAAGGAAACGAGGGGAGTCAAAAGAAAAAGATACCCCACAAACAAGAGCTCCAGAAAATAACATTTTGGGCTCACAGAAACTTCTTGCTACCTCACTGTGTAACTATGTAACCTAACAAACTTTCACTGAATTAACAGTTACACTTTCAGGTCTGAAATCTAGTGCATAAACTTAATGGCTCATTGTAATATTTATTATTCAACCTTTTGACATTTATTTGTAGCAGTTGAATTGAGGTACCGGGTGCATTATTAGCATTGAAACAGTAAAGTGTTCCAGCTCTACCGTAATAACTGAGTTTTACTTGAGTCTTTAGCCTGAAGTAGTCTGTGGAATGTAAACCAACCCTTCTCCCACCCCGCCCCCACCCTACTCCAAAAAAAAAAAAAAAAAAAACCCGCAATGAAAAAAAAAAAGTAATCCGATTTCTGTCTTCAAAATGCGATAAACCAGGACTCCAAAGGGGGTGTAACACATTAATGGACTTGTACAAACCATCCTGTGCAGTTTACAACAAAAGGAAGGTAATATGGTTCAAGAAAATATCTTCCAAAACATTTTTATGAATTAAATTTCCTGAATTTGTGACTAGGTGGAAGAGGTATTGCAGAACCGCCCAGCTGCCATTTCCATATAGGATGGGCCTTGTGAGGAGGTTGGAAATCCTTAGTGGTGTTTAAGGAATACGCCGGCCACAAATCCCCATCCTTCCCAATAATGAGTGATGGTGGACAAGGAAAATTTGCCATGAAATTAAATGGCCTTTTCACTGCTGATGCTACATTGCTGGCTACCTTTTTGCGTCTGTTTATGACTGTAAAATCATCCAGTGTTCCTTCATGTGTCTCAGTTTTACCTGTAGGACGAGGGCTTCTAGCTGATTTCAAATTTGGTTTGACTGGAGGTGTCTGAAGGACAGGTCGCTTTCCCAGTACTAGTGTCCGGTAATTTTTTCTCACCCTGGCACCAAATTTATATTCCCCATCCTCAGGTTTTGGAGAACCTAAAGTGCATGAAAGGCCCTGACTCTGAGCCAGTGGATTTAAGGAAGGAGCTGCTTTTTCAGGGCATGCAAAACCTTCCTTGGCTGTGGTTAACAAGGCGTCCTCCTCTTTACTTTCAGTCACACTGCAAAACTCACCCTTTGTATCATTGCACTCGCACTTTAGCTTATTTGTAATAAGGTCAGGTTCGTATTCTTCATTAGCACTACTGTCTTCTACTTTGATTTTAATATTGTGCAGAAATGACAACGTCTTGTCGCCTGTGTCAGTGCAGGGGTTCTCAGCTTTAGTTGCTGGTGCTGCTGCATTCACTTCAGGATCCGTTTGCGAAGAGGGCAAATCCGTAGCAAATTCAGGACAATGAAGGATTTTGGAATCTTTTTCTGGATTCGCTGCAGCTCCTGAAGAATCGTTATTTAAGAACCTAGCAGCAATTGTGTTGTTATCTGCACAGTGTGCAGTAGGAGTTGCTTGTAGGCATTTCCTAGCCTCTCGGAGTATTCTTTGTTGTGGAAATGCATTGTTTGTCTTTGGGCTAGGTGAAGAGGCCCCCTCTGCCAGGCAGTTAATTGTCAGGTCAGTTCTCTTTACAGTACTGGAAATTTCAGAGTGTGGGAATGTAATCTCCGATACCCTATCGTTCCTTATCTCGGCGAAACAACTCCCCAGGCTGGCCGGGCAGTACACCGGAGACGCTTTGGGGGCCCAGCTCTGCAGACTCCACTCCTCCGGCGACTCCGCTTTGACACTGCTCTTGAGGCCGGGAAGTCTGCCGGCATCCTCGAAAGCAGCGGGTTTGGTTGCAGCGGCGGCGGAGGCCAGATGGTACAAGAAGTTGGCCTGCGCCTGCACGCTGGGAGGCTTGCAGAAGCTGGTGCGCCTGAAACGGATGCTCTGCACTGACACTTGGCTGGAGCCGGAGCTGGAGTCCGACTCCGTGGACGAGTCCTCCTCCTCCGAGCTGACTTCACTGGAATCCGAGGCCCCGCTGCCCCCCTCCTCCTCTTCCTCCTCCTCTTCCTCCTCCTCCTCCTCTCCCTCCTCCTCCTCTTCCTCCGAGGACACGGAGTTGCTGGAGCTGGACAAACTGGAGCCAAAATCCGAGTCGTTGGCGGCATGGTCCGAGTAGGAGCTGGACTCGGAGTCGCTGCTGCAACTCTCGGGAAAGCTGCCCAGATGGGGCTGCGGCCGGTGGTGGTGAGGGGGGTGGTGCCCCGGCGGCGGCTGCTGGGCGCGGTGGTGGTGGTGGTGATGGTGGTGGTGGTGGTGGTGGTGGTGGTGGGGAGGCGGGCAGAAGCCGTTGACCAGATGGAACCTCTCCAGGCAAGTGGCTCCGGCGGCCGCCGCCGCCGCCGCCGCTGCCGCCGCCGCCGCGGCCGCCTTGGCTTTGTAGGACCTGGGCAGCAGCAGCAGGCGGCGGGCGCCGGCGTGGGGCGCGAGCAGGCAGTCCTTGGCGGGCCCGCGCCTGCGCCTGCAGCGGTAGCCCAGGCTCGCCGGGCCCCGGCGCCCGCCGCCGCCTTGGGCTGGGGCCCGGCCGCCGACGCCTGGTAGTAGGGCGGCCGCGGCGGCGGCGGCGGCGGCGGCGGCGGCACGGCGGCGGCGGCGGCGGCCGGGGTTGCTTGCTGCACAGCAGGCTCCGGAAATAAGCGGGGTCCGAGTGGAACGCGACGTAGTTTCCCTGGAGCGGGGCAGTTTCATAGTTCAGAGGGGGTTTGCAAGGCGAGCGCACGAGGTCCGGGTAGTGCGAGCCCGGGTACTTGCTAAAAAGCTGAGGTAGATGGGCGGCGGGGCGCGCGGCGGCGGCGCCCGGGCGCGGGGCCTGCGCGCTGATTGGCAGGGGCCGCGCGGCTCCGCTCAGGCCCCGCCAAAGTTGCTGCCTGTCCTTCCAGAAGCCCGCGCGGGGGCCCGCGGCGGCCGCGCGCTCCGGCGGCGGCGCCTTGCTGGCCAGGGCCCGGCCGGGCCGCCTGCGCTTGGTCTTGAGGACGCGCTCGGTCTTGCAGGAGGTGTAGAGCGCCTCCACGTCTTCCCGGGAGATGAGCGTGCATTTGGCGGCGTGGAAGGCGATGCTGTTGATTGCCTTGAGTTTCCGCAACTCCTCCAGATCGCAGTGGTGCTTTTTCACTTTCAGATGATCCATGCGCTTGTGCACGGTCGTCCTCGGGATGTTTTTCAGCAGATCCGTGAAGACTTGGGAGAGGGCAAACATTTGCTTTCCTTTAATGATGAGGTAGCCGAGCCTCACGCCATCCACCTCTTCAAAACCTGACTTCAGGTCTCCCATCTCGGGCACTAAATGATCCCCACCATTTGCAGTAAATATATACGTGACGCATACATACACATGTATGTATGTTAATCCTCCGCCAGATGCTGCGTGTGTCTCAAGGCATCCTGCTAATAAAATAACAAAGACTGTTATTCCCGGCGAAGGGAGTGCCAAACTCTAGGCGAAATTATTGGGGAGGGGGAAAAAAACCCCATGAAATTACACTGACTTGATTCTTGCTTTTTTTTTGGTTTTCGTTTTTTTAAAAAAGAGGGAAAAAACCATCCGGTTTCTGATCTGCCAGTGTGGTGGTCTGAGTCCCCGATGCAGATCAGTACCTGGGCCCCTCTGTTCCTCCCTTCTCCATTGGAGCACTATGATAATGGAATGTGAAGGCAGAAAGAGGAAAGAAATGCAGCTGCTATTCCCGCCGCTGCTTTAGCTACAAATAAAATGACAGAGTGAAGTGAGCTCGTCCGGAGACACCTTCATCAATTAATTCCCCTAAAGCCCGCGCTGATTGGACACTCCTGACAGGTGATGCAATAAAAATTGATATTCCACCCCTTCCCCCCAAAATCTCCCACTAATTAGCATACCCTTATACTGCCACCTCCCCTCCCAAAGTAAATAATACAGTCGGTATATAAATCTTTCCATTAAACTATCGGAGCTCAGAAACAGCCTGACTCACAGACTTCATCAGAAGCAGTGCGTGTACGCTTCAAAAAAAAAAAAAAAAAAAAACCGCACCATATATTCGCCTTTAAAGAAATATTGCCTATTTTTTCTTTATTTGCATTTTACCCATACAGCTATTATAATTTCAAAGAAAAGCATTTAAAAAACATTATCAAGCCAAAATAGATACACCCCACCCCCTTTCCTTTTGAAAATGGAGCTTAAGCGAAAATGTGGAGAATAGCCTGGTATTTCCCTTACAGGAGTGGGGAAGGAGATCGGCTGGGAGCTCCAAAGTTAAACCCGCGCGGTGAACCACCCCAGTACAGACTTACGTTTGGAATTTCTCTGGATTTTCCTTTTCTTTTATTTTTTTCTTTTTTCCTGAAATGCCTTTTTACAACCAGAAACAAAGTTATTTGACCAAGGAAGCAGTTCAAGGCTCCAGCTCCGACACACTGTAACAATTCAACTGGATTTCGGTTCTCTGCTGGGGGGTGGGCTGGGGAGGAGGTAGTTTCACGTCAGAGCCATAACAAAGCATAGATAAGCCAGAAATGTGTACACTTTTCACAATTAACCGGGCTGGATTGGAGGCGGGATCGTCCTGGAGTCCCCAGCACAGCCTTTGCCAGGGTCCTGTTCACGACAGGTCAGAATTCCAGGGAGCAGATTGCTTCCTTCTGCAGCAAAGAAAAGAAAATGTCAAACGCCCAAGGTGCTTCCAGAGGTTTTACGTAATAAGGATGAAAAGAAAGTGCTGATGTACGATGCAGGCCATTTCAGTGGTCTATGATGCTTTGGTTGGTAGTTTAGGTGAATCTTCTACAACTCCCAGTTTTTCCATGAAAGCCAAGCATCTGCTATAACAAAATCACTTTGGATGAATAGCAGTGTGGTTTAACCTCTTCTTAGTCAAATTAAGGCATATCTTGGTGTCGTTTTCAAGAATATCCAAAATATTGCCAAATGAGAGCAAGGGTCTTCCCAGTTGCATTACCACGATCCCAAGGCGGTTTGTTGGCTGCGTTGCAAAATTCGGCAAAATCTTCTTAACTGTTCTATGTTTGCAACTACAACATAAATGCAACCCAGGCATTTATATGTTTCCTTGTTCCTCCAAAAATAGACACATCCGCATGATTAAAAGAATAAACGGATATTTCTGAGCCTGCAAAAAAATTGTACAATAATTTCTTTCTTCACATTCAAAAGTTCCAGCTTCCTCTGCTCTGGTCTGGCTAGCACAGGCAGGTATGGCTCAAAAAAGAAAAAAAAGAGATAAAAACAGAGGAATCAGACATACAAAAAGGTAGTTTGCTTGACAAGATGAAATCTCGGCCACGGTTCCCCACCCCCACCCTCATCTCCTTTGTAATTTCCCAGGAATTTTGAAGAGAATTGGGAATTTCAAGAAGTGCATCCGGAAATTAAGGAAGTCTATTTAAGAGAGTCTGTAACTCAGGAGGTTGGGATTTGAAAAGTCAGCCCTGGACTACTGTTGCACTCAGCACAGATGTAATCACCGCTCTTCAACTTAATCAATGTGTGTACAAACCGCGATGTCTAGTTCTTGCCTTTGAAATCTAAGGCTAGCATTTCCATCCAAGAAATCAGAGCTACAGCAAATTACATTTTTGTCCCTTGAATGAGAGAAGGATCATTGAATGGATCTCGTGATATTTCAGGCTTTAAACGTAACCGAGAGGCAGCAATGAACAATGCCTCGTCACAGCTAATACATCCACCGAGTTGGCTTTCTTTTGCATCTGGATCTATCACACCGCGTTTTTCTCTTTCACTTTCACAGGAGGCAAAATGCACAAGGTTTAAGCAGAAAGCGAAGTTTCCAGGAAAAGCAGATGCTGATGTTTGTTTTTTAAAGTAGAATGACCAGAGTCTTTCTATTGCCAGCGACAATAATGTCGTTTTAAAATTCCTCCTGATGCATTTATATAGTACTGCCAGCCTTCTCCCTCCCACCCCCACCCCCGCCCCTTCCCCTCCCCCAGCTTTAAGATTTAGACCGAAGAGTCAGCCAAGAAATAGTAAACTCAGAAAAAGCCTTTGAGAAGACAGTACAAAAGGTTGGCTAGAGCGTCCTTTTTTTTTTTCCAGGTAGTTTTAGATGTTCTCCATTCCTGTTAAGATTTACACACACACACACACACACACACACACACACACACACACACACACACACACACTCTCCTAGTCCTCCTGAACATACCAACATGATTTAGTAAGCATTTCAAAATTACCTTCTTTTCCTCTCTCCTCCTTTCTTTCCACCTTTAAAATACTGGCATGATGGGTGGTTTTGAAAACTAGTAGCATAGTAAGTATTTTTTAAAACTAAAAGTATAATTTGTTGGGTCAAACAGAAAGATAAAGGCCAGGGGGTTTAGGAAATGTGCCTGTATGTTCTATTTATGCGAGTATCTCTGTATGTGCACTCAGACACCTTTACACTTATACATTTTTAATACTCTTATTACACATCTTTCTTCTTGTCTAATACCTTCTTTTGTTCCTTTAACTTCCCTATCGTTGTGTGTGTTAAAGCTCGAGAACTCTCACTCGAGTGTGCACACGAGCACACACACACACACACACACACACACACACAGAATGTGACAGACAGCTTTCTTATGGCCATCAGCACACATTGCATATCCGGGGTCTTCTCCAGGCACATTGGGGGTCGATCCCGATAAAAAGATCTAGGAGAGGCCCCTGAGCGCTCACACATGAAAGGCAGGGGACTTTAAGATGGATTTGCATGCACACCGGGGATTTCGATCAATAGCTACCAACATTTATGGCTTAGATTATTAATGCGAAAGCCGGCCAAAAGAATGGGGATGAAAAATTAAAGGTGTCTGTTATCAATTATGCTTAAAGTTATGCAATAATTTACTTACTTTGCCTGGATGTGCAGATCCAGATGTATAAAGTACTATTCTTCAAAAGCCAGGGGGTTTCTTTGATAAATTTGTTGACCATGTCAGCTGCTTCTATAAAGATGAACCCAATTCAGATGATGGACTGTATTCAAATTCTTTTTTAAGAAAAGATATATCAACTTCTATGTTTGTCAAATGCATGTACAAATGTGGATAGATACACTCAAATTAACATTTATGTATATATCCTTCTCTCTGAGTCCAGGGAATTATTGTGAATTTAGGCACATATATGATATGCATTGAGTTTGTTAATTAAATGTGATTATTTACTCAGTGAGGGATGCATAATCTACACACTATTGTAGAAAGTATTTTAGCTTTGAAAATCAAGCTGTTTGCTAAAGGAAAATCCTCAGTAGCAAATACAGATTGAAATATATTCTTAATGTCCACTTACTTCTGCATTTATTGTAAAAAATCAGCACTTTCAGTTTTTAAAGTAATGGGCTATGAAGATATGAACATATTTGTCTTTACTTATCCCATATGCATGTGCTAGATTTACCTTCAGATGCTCTATTTTGATTTATTTTCACTGTATTTCATGTTTAAATACCATTGCAATTCAGTCTGACCTCTTTCCTCTGGAGCGAAGTAATGCACAAGGCATTTACAGTCTTTTAAATGGTTAGCTGGGAAATGCAATAGCAATTTGCAGGAGTAGTTTATTAATGGGGAAAGTTCTTTTGAAAACCTGAAGGAAAACCTAAGAGTACTTTTGCATTTCTACACTACAACTGTCATATAATTAAAGTATTGAAGAGCGTTAAAATAATCCTTTTCCTTCCAAGCTCTCACCCATACATACATAATTTAAATGAGGATCACCCTGCCCCCCCCCCCCAACTAACTCTTCACCATATACATTTGTTTTAGTGATTGCTGGGCACATTTTGTTTAAAGTGAATTCAGACAGAAAAGAGTAAGGAACATCACAAAGGCCTCAACAATGTAACTTACTGGTTAAAAGAATAAAAGAAGCTCCTTGCATTGTTAACTAAAAGTAACTATAATACTTATAACATAAAGTCTAAATTAATAATAAAGTCTCATAAGGCTGAATTAGTTGAGGATAGAGGACAATAAAATCTCAACATTTCTTTAGCTAAATTTATCTGACATCACACCTCCTGTGCTTTTTGGGAGGGGAAAATGGGAATAGAGGAGGAGAAAATGGCTAAATTGAGAAACAACTTAAATTATAACTTAGTATATTTTCCTTAATTTTTTTCTTTTTGTCTCATCCAAACAAATCAGGGCAAGTTTCCAAAAGGGCCCATCCTTCTGTTCTTAGGCATTTAAAAATCCTGTCTTTTAACAGAAGTTTGGGACACAGAGTATATGCCATGTTGTCTACTGACCCATAATCAAAATGCAGTGACCTTCTACCCTTTTTTTGCCCCCTGACCCATCTTGAATTCAATGCTGCCTTTATAAATTTGCAAATCCTTGGAGGTAAAGGGGTTTTTGTGAGGCTTTGTTCTGAAAAAGCCCTAAGAGTATGCTTTCTAAATTAGACAAAAGTAAAGCAACAAACCCTAGTGGATGAGATTTTATACAGGTGAGCAGTAGGCAACTCTTCAGATAACACATATTGCAAGCTAAAAAGCAGTTCTAAACATAGCAGACAAGGAGGTTATGGATTGCATCAAATTAGAGTGTGGTACAAATCACTTTCATGATGTAAGAAATGGTTAGGCCACAATCTTCCTGCTCTTCTCATCTCAAGGGCTGTGGGGGACCCTAGTGACCAAAGAAGGAATGGGGGGGGTGGGGAGAGGGAGGGAGGGAAAGAAAGAAAGGAGTGAGACTTGATCTGAATCTGCAGGCACATTCCCTTATCTTTCCTGCTATCAGCCAGTTTAAAGGACACCATAATTATGATGGTGATAAAACAATGCCTGCTTATGTGTGCTGAATAAATAAAGAATGTTTACAGCTCAAGAATCTTTTAATTCCAATTAAATGCTATCAAAGAAAAGCCACTTTTCCTACTGCAACCGCCTTTCCCCCCAATTATCTTGTTTTGTTGCAATATTTTCCTATGAGACACAAGGGCCTTTCACAATTGATCCTGAATGTAGAAGAAAAAAAAAAATCTGAGAAAGTAGAGTTCAACCTCCATGTATTAAATAATATACAAATATCAAGAACCACAATTTATTTGGGTTGCCCAAGTTTTTGTTTATTTTACACGAGGGCCAAATGTGTAGAAACTGAAGTGATGACACTAAGTGCTGAGGCCTACCTATGGGTTACTGCAGCCATACTGAAATCCTGAGCACCCATGAGGGGAGAGAGGAAAGACAAGACACACGAGGAGCCTGATGGTCTCTGGAAAGGGAATCCTCTGGTTCTGTTCCCCTGGCTTCAGCCCAAATCCTACTAGGAGCACTGGAGCCAATCACTGTCTTCTACTGCTGCAGCTACTGGGAACACACAAAAAAGCGGGAGATCAAAAAAAAAAAAAAATCACAAGTTCGAATTTATGGATACACAAGTATCATTTCATATTCATGACATCAGCAAATCACATCATAATCACATTTAAACAAGGTTTGGGCACTAATGCCCATCGGGCTGGGCACCAAACACTGACAGTATCACATACTAACCAGAAAATTCGCTTTTTTAAATTTTGAAATCATGAAATGAAAATTAAGTCCTTTAACTTTGAAAAGCTTACTTTTTGCTTCTGAGGCCAATTTTTACACTAATAAATTTCAAGGAAACGCCTCTTTGTAAGTCGTTCCACAGCATTTTAATTCAAACGTCTATTTCCTTCCTTTCTCAGTTGTAGTAGTGTTTTGTTTGTGTTTTTAAAAACACATGGCACAACAAACGTTATGGAAAACGCACTCATTCCGTTAAATGCCGATACAAACCTGCCTTTTACTCCATCTGTCTAAGCAGCGCATTGCTAAGTATAAACGTAAAAAGAAAAATACTTTCCTCGAAGAAATACCTAAGATTTCTTGGCAAATACTATTTGGTGATATGGTGCAAAAATACAGGGTAAAAACATTTCAGGGTATTTGTAAGTTTTCTGGAGAGTTGCAGGCCCCTTTCCTTTTGAAAGTTTAGAGCTCCAATACCCTCAATTCTACTGGCAGAATTAGGGTGGACTTAGAGGGTCCTAAACGTGACCGATTCACTAAGGCGGGGGGCTACAGCTTGCAGCAACGTGCTCGGCAACTTAATCCTACGCTAAAAGAGGGCAGAGAGCGAAAAAGAATGGAATACAAACTCTCCCGACATTCGTAGTTACTTTCAAGGTGGATTGTGTATTTTAAGGCTGATGGGAACGTCTGGTTTTTGGAGCAAAAAGAAGAGAAGGTAAGTGTTTGTCCTTGTATCCACCAGTTGGTAGAGAAACAATGAAAGAACAAAGGGAACCACTTCTTCTGAACATTTTCTGTATCTCCCTCTGTTTGAAGCCAGAAAGCTTGCGAGGGGATTCGCTTTACTCTACCTTAAGTAGTGGTTGCTAGGCTTGTTGAACTAAGAATGAGAAAAAAAGTTGAGAGGCAGTGTAAATATAGACTAAATAATAATAAGAAAGGCTTGCTGTGGCGAATCTCCACCGCGCCTGGCGAAGCAACTTGCAGCAGAAGTTGTGCTAAATGCATAGAGGCAAAGCTCAAGAAATAACCTTTGCATGCCAGATTTCGAACTCAGTCATTTAAATTTCCTTTCTCGCTGTTTGAAAGGGTTTCTGCACCCAAGATGTGTAGGTAGTGGTCTGTGGGAAGAGAGCAGTGTACTACTTAGGTCGAAAAAATGATCTCTATTGCTATCTGGAAGCTAATTTTTAAAAAGGAAAGGAGACTGAAGTGTTGATGCTACTGTTTGCTAATGGAAGGAATGGCAGCGGTGGCCGGGAGAGGACAGGGATTCGCATTTGGATGTATTTGCTTTGGGGTACGCCGGTTAGGGGCAAGTCTGCCTTTGTGGGT